ATTATACACAGAGAAAGAGGGAGAAGAAAAAAAAGAGTGGAACAAACTCACCATTCTTCTCCAATACGCTGAGAAAGTGAGGAAAGACATTGTCTGCAAAAGAGAGAGAGACAGAGAGAGAGAGAGTCACAACACTAAAAAGTCCACCCTTCTTTTTATATGAGAGAGAGAGAGAGAGAAGACTTAAAGGTGTTTGAAACAAATCCAAATTTTCGTACAAAATGTTTGTGTATATTCCAAGAATTTAGTCCTTGTCTAACCAACCAAAACGAGTAATACTACAAAAACAACATAACAATTCCAGACCCAAAAAGAAGAAAGAATAAATATAAAAAAAAAATACAAATCACCCCAAAACAAGACTGATGTTAGTGTTATATACATACATTACATAATAGAATCTACAAAAAATGAGAAACAAACATTATAACATGTACAACATAAAAGAAGCCAACTAATTTAAGCCATGTGAAATAGTTAGTTGTTTTGGATGAAATTAGAAATAAGCAAATCAAAGTAGAAGATTGAGAGAGCTAATAAAAACTCAAAACCTCAAGAAACAAGAACCCATTCAGATGAGTGAGAGAGAGAGAGAGAGAGAGAATTTACAGTAAAAAAAATAGCTCAACTCCGAGAGAGCTTTACCTTGTGTCGACACCCCATTTTTGACTGTTCTTACGACTTGGATGTCATCGATTACACACCCAATGATGAGTCTATATGTTTGTCAAGTGCTCGAAGTCCTCAGCAGAATGCCACAGCTTTGAGCCTTTCAAACCTTGCACCCCTGTTACCTTGTTTTGGACCAAACCCAATGATTTTCAAGCCTGCAACCTCTGGTGGCCTGCCGGCCACTGCTAGAGGCTACCGGCCATCACTCTTGGTTGCTGGCCACCAGTGATGGCCGACCAGCCACCAATGTCTTTTGTAGATATTTTGTGACAACTGTGCCAGTTGTTTACATAGATGCGTGCATTTGCTCCCATGTGTATGGCTGTATGTTCTTGAGGGAAATTCATGTTTTCTATATATAGAAGATCTCCCTCTCATGTTTAAGGTTAGAAAAATATTAGAGCAAAATTTTTCCTCTCTCTACAATTCTCTCTCTTTCTTACAAATTTCTACACCTTTGCCTATACACTCTTCATCTTTGCCTATACACTCTTAACCAAACCCCTCCATATTTGAGCTGAGGTATCTTTGAGCCTTGTTTGAGCTCTTGAGGGTGTGTTTGCTTTGTTTTGTTTCCTAGAATTGGTTCTCCTCTTCAAAGGTATAAAGCTTTGTCTCTTTACTTGCTTTATCTACTCTTTTTCTTGCTATTTTTCAACTGTTTTTAGGTTGTAAAACCTCTGTATTTTTGGGCTGAAACTTGGGTTTTAAGGCCAATAAAGGTTGAGGGGTGGTTCACCATTCTCTACACCTTGCTCTTAAGGCCTTTACCCTTGTGTTTTCTACCTTTGCACTATCTTTTTTTGAGCTTTTAAACACTGATTTTCAGAGCTATTTTAGTGGCTAAAATCATGGTTTGAAGTCCAAAATTGGAGGGGTTAGCCTCCCCTCCTTGTGTTTTACTTACTAGTCTAGCACGTTCCATATTTTAGCATATTAATCTAGATATTTTTGTCTTAATTCCAGTATATTTTAGGACTATTTTTAGACTATTTTAGGACTATCTTTAAGTGTTTGTTGCATTTGAGCTTTGTTTTGCATGCTTATAGTATAATTGCCCTCACGAGTTTGGTGTTTTAGGCTTTAGACACCATCTCATTTGAGTTGATTGTATTTATTTATGACTTTCCATACTCTTGATCACTCTTAATCACCTCTGCAACCTCCCTCCTTTCTTAGTTTTTGTTTTTCTTTGAAAGTGGTTTCAAACTAATTGTTTGTTTAAGCATAAGAATGAGATGTCATGCTTAATGGTTTAATCTCTTTGGGGGTTCATTACTAACGGTATGATGTCTCTTTCATGCCCAAAGCAACTCTTGGTTTGAGCCCTCTTTCCATTAGAGGACTTAAATTCACCTTTTGGATTCAATTGATTAAAGAATGGATGGTAATCTAAAATGGAGTAATTAAAACTTGGAATTAAAAGTGAGCAAACTAATAACTTGTTTGGATTCAATCGGACATTAATTGAACCATTGATTCTTGAGTCGTTTCATACTCATTAGTGATGAAAACTGTTCAAGATTCATTGTCAACTACTTTTCTTGATCTTTCATGATAGGGAGGTGGTTTTGAGAGTCTTATTTTGTTGCATTTATTGAACTTGCACACTTTGGTTCATAGGCCATCATGTAATGAAATTGCATAGATTGATAGTTTGTGAATCAAGTTTACAACTCCTTTGATTTGTTCATGATAAGGAGTGGTAAATTGTGCAAACAAACCCTTGAAAATACACTGTCTTTGCACTATTTGCTCTCTGTTGTAGTAGGGAAGTTCTGTCAACAGTGGCCGGCAGGCCCTCTGCTGGCCACCAGTGCAAAATTCAGCAGTGTTCTCCTAAGCAGAACAGGGTTGGTCTGGAGATGGAAATCAATGTAAGTGTCCTACTGTGCAACAGAGACATTCAGCAACAAAAACGGTGACTTTTTCGGATAGAAATCGCATCCATGCATGAGCCTTCCATTGAGCCTTGGGATTCGTGTTGTAACAATATTAGTTTTGTTAGCATAGGAGCTTTGTAAATTAATTAGTTAGAATAGCTAATTCATTATGTGTTGTAATTCTTTTAATTAGCTAGATTAGTTAATTAATTCAGTTTGTAATAATTAGTTAAATAGTTTAGCTATTTATTCATTTGTTTTGTAATAATTAGTTTAGCTTTAATTAGTTAGCTAGTTGGCTAGTTTATTCATTCGGACTCTCCTTCGAAAGAGCGCAATGTAATAATGTGTATGTCTTCCAACCCCACATATTTCTCCCTTTTATTTACTAACTTATGATGGTTAGTTTAGGGCATCATGTTTTGTTTAGCATCTCTCATGCCTTGCATCCATTTGTATTGCGTACATTGAGGCGCGACACATCATTCTAACTGCATTGTTAGTTTAATGCTTCTTTGAATACATGCTTAGATCGCATGCTATCGAATTGATTTATATGTCATATTAGTAGCCAAGCCTATTTAATTGCATATCGCATGTTTTGCACTAGTCATATTGCATAATTAGGAATCATGCATTTTTCTAACTAGTTTCTCTTTTGGCTTGGAGTACTAAGTGAGTCTTTACTCGTTTTAGCATATCGCATGTTAATGTTGCCATGTCTAGCATGCTTGCCATGAGGCTAATTGTTTAAGTGCTATAATTGCTTGAATGCCTATGAATGAAGGTTAATTGTTTGAATTGGAATAATTTGAGTAATGTTTATATGCGATCATTTTTTCAAGTGATACATATTCGAAACAAGCATGAACTGAAATGTTCCAATTCTTGCAAGATAGTCTATACTTGTGTGTGTGCGCATCACATAGTAATGTTAGTCTAATAATCGAAACAAGAGCATATAATGTAAATAAGATTCATATCATGATTAGTAGAGGCCGATCTTTGATCGAGCAAGCAGGGGTGCTCAATTCATGACCTTCCCCTCTCGTACCTAAGTTCCCAAGCCAAGACAATCTTGGTGATGACGGACACGTGGCCTTTGGCACGAGTCATGGGTTTCCTAAATTTTTCCAAAAAATATTTAGGTGGTGACTCTATATCTGGCAAAAGTAGTCCATATTTGACATTTTTTATTCAAAATCGATTTTTCAAAAGATTTGCCGGATTGGGATTCTTTGGTTATTATCTATTTCACATTGCACTTATAGAATCAGATGCAGAACCGCGGGAGTCCAATACTATAGGGCTTATTCGTCTTCCGAAAGGGGGCGCGAAAAAGTCAAGCTACACCTTGTTTTCTCCAATGGCAACTATTGAGCATCTACAATCTATATATATATATATACACTTTAATTTACAATAATAAATGAAGATTAAAATCATGAACCAAAAACTTGAACTGAAAATAAAATAAAATAGAAATGTATAGAAATGAAGAGAAATGGACTTTCTGAGACTCAGACTTCGATGTGTAATATCATATGGAATGATCACAAAATGCAAGAAAATAAAAATAAAATAGAAAAATGAATCTAGATTACATTCACTTGGAAGAATAGTTTATTCACCTCATCAATGGAAATGAAGGAAAACCAAGAATAAATTGATACATCGAGAAAGAGAAAGAAGAGCTAGAAAAGAGAGAGAGAGAGAGAGAGAGAGAGAGAAAGAGAGAGAGAGAGAGGCAAACCATAAACAAGGGAGAGAAAAAGTGTTTGAGTTTTGTTGAGTTCAAATAGATTGATTTGAGATGAATTACCTTCAATGTGAAGAGAGTGTGGCTTATATAGAGTACTTTACTTGTTGCCCAAACAGGTTTCATAGAGTTTTGGTGCCTCATGACTTCCCTTAGCATTGCTCAAGATGGAGGTCTACAAGGTAATTGACCATGGAGATATATAATCATTGTAACCATACATATAATAGATCATATTTCGTTTGTTAACTGATTTTGTGATTCTAGGAAATGGGGACCAACTGAGGTAGAAGCCTGCACATGTATGCATTCACAACTTTCACATTTCTCTAAGAGGTTCCTTCAACTTGGTACCAATGTGTAAGAATTCTGAAGAAGTTCTGTATATTCAATTGTATTTGATTACAACAAGACCCTAAATTATATAGCCCTAACTCTTAAACCAAAAAGGAAAACACAATCACGCATATACACAATCACGCCTATAATATATACAACCACAATCATGCCAAATTTAGAATATACACAACATATTCTCACACCCCCGCTCAAACTCAAGGTGTTTTAGCAGAAAACACAAAGAGTTTGCTAAGAAGAAACTGAAACCGAGCGGTAGTGTGAGTCTTGGTGAAGAGGTCCGCAAGTTGCAAAGCCTATGAGATGAAAGGAAGAGAGATAGAGCGAGACTAAAGATGCTGGCAAACAAAGTAACAATCAATCTCAATGCGTTTCATCTGTTCATGGAAGACAATATTGTGGGCAATCTGAACAGCACTGCAGTTGTCACAATAAAGAGAGGTTAGAGAAGACTAAGAGACACCAAAATCAAACAAGGGACAACAAAGCCAAACAATCTCAACAGTGGCATGAGCCATAGCACGATACTCAGCTTCGGCAATAGAGTGAGCACCGATTGATTTTTTCTTGCTTTTCCAAGAGATCAAGGAATCACCAAAAAACATACAAAAACCAGACGTAGACTTGCAATCAGTATCATCACCAGCCCAATCAGAATCAACATAGACCACCAAGTCCAAAGAAGAAGTAGAGGACAACAGTAAACCCTAAAAGATGGTAACCCTGACATAGGAGAGACTACAAACCAAAGCAGCCTAATGGGTACAGCGAGGAGCAGAAACGGGCAGACTAACCACATGAACAACATAAGCAAGATTAGGGCAAGTGACAATCAGATAAACTAAACAACCCACAAGCTCGCGATATATAGTGAGATCATCCAGAGGGACACCATCAGTGGAGTTGAACTTCACATTAAGCTCAATAGGTGTATCAAAAACCTTAGTAGCAGTAAGACCAGCACAGTGAATGACTTCATTAGCATACTTAGCCTCAGACAGAAAATAACCATTTGGAGAAGAAGCAACCTCAATACTAAGAAAATACCACAATGGACCTAGATCCTTCATTTCGAAGGTACGGACAGTAATCATTTCGGTAACAGGAGCAAATGTCTTCTCATAATCAATACCATACTTCTGGGAGAAACCTTTGGCAACCAAACGAGCTTTGTAGCGCTCAAGAGAACCATCAGAATGAGTCTTAACTTTGTAGACTCATTTGCAGCCAACTAGATTCTTACCAGCAGGCAAAGGAACCAACTCCCAAGTACTAGTTTTCTATAGAGCAGACAACTCATCTTCCATAGCTTGAACCCAATGAGAATCTTGACAGGCCTCCTTGTAAGACTGAGGTTTTAAAAAGAGTGAATAGTAGACAAAAAAGTATGATAGGAAGCAAAAAACATGTATTAGACCAACCTAACCTGTTTGGATGATGACGCGCTCGAGTAAGATATCAGTATGCAGCAAGATCAGAGTTATTAGAAGCAAGAGGATCAACAATAGAGGCAGAGACAACTAGTGGAGTAGGAGCCTTGTGACGAGAATAAACTAACAACATAGGAGGAGAAGAAGCTGCAGAAGGAGAAGCAACTAGAGGTGAAGAATGAGGAGAAAATGGAACAAGCTCAAGAGGAACAGTGGAGATGTACTCATCAGACGGGACCTCAGAAGCAAATAGATCAATATGAACCAAATCCTCTTTGGAAACTGGGGTGGTGAGAGAAGGAAGCTGAAAGTAAGGTAGACGTTCGAGAAAGGCAACATGGTGGGAGACATAAAGCCGACAGGAAACATGGTCATAACAGCGATAACCTTTTTGAGTGAGACTATAACCAAAAAAGACACATAGGACAGACTGGGCACTAAGTTTGGTCTTATCTTTACAGGGTAAAAGACAAAACAAGAAGATCCAAACACACGAGTAATTAGGAAGTTGAGAAAACAAAGCCTTATAAGGAGACCAACCAGAAAGAAGGGGGGTAGGCATATAGGTGAGAAGAAAAGCAGCAGTAAGAACGATCTCATCCCAAAACGAAGCCGGAACGGAGGTAGAGAGAATGAGAGACCTAGCTGCCGCAAGGAGATGACGATGTTTATGCTCAGCTCGACAATTTTGGGCAGGTGTATCAATACAAGAAGTTTGATGAATGGCACTAATTTGGTCAAGTATTCACAGAATTCAGTTTTAAAGTATTCCCCGCCCAAGTTAGGCCGTAACAATGTAATAGTAGACCTAAACTGTGTAGTGATTATAGATTGGAAAGTACAGTATATCTGGTAGAAGTTTGACTTATGAGTCATAAGATAAACCCAAGTGTAACGGGTGCAATCATCAACAAATGGCACATAGTATGCAGAACCCCCTTTGTTGAGAACAGGAGAAGGGCCCCAAACATCAGTATAAACTAAAGAAAATGGTGTATCAGATATAAAAGTACTTTTATGAAAAGGAAAGGCTGTCATTTGACAAGTTTACACCCCCGACATTCAGTAAGTTCACTCGGAGAAACTTTACCCAATATACCTGACTGAGCTAAAGACCGTAAGCGATCAACAAACAAATGCCCTAATCTAGAATACCACAAGTAGAAAGAACTAGACAAAGAATCTAACTGAAAAGCAGAAAAGGCAGTTGGAGGAGTTGCCAGAGGCAAATGCAAGCTCTCCACCACATAAAGGTCTCCAACTCTACAACCAGTCCCAATCTGCTGCTTAGGCATCCGATCCTGGACAAAATAGATAGAAGAAAAAAAGATAACATCAAAACCAGAGACATCAAGCTGATTGATAGATAATAAACTGATAGATAACTGAGGAATATAAAGGACAGATGGAATAAAGATAGTAAACATAGCAAACGGTAGGACAGACTCAACATATATAATAGACATACTAGATCCATTAGCAGCATTAACAGTAATAGATAAGGGAGGGGGAATACAATTTTGAAGTAAGGAGAGATGAGGAGTCATATGATAAGAAGCACCAAAGTCAAAAATCTAGACAGACGAAGAGATACCTGAAAAAGATCCAAGCAAACCTGAATAAAAAGAGAAAACAATGGAGGCAGACGGGGATGGTTATAAGGTAGACAATATATGCTGAAGCTGACTAATTTAAACACTCAAGGAAACATCAGGATCAGGAACCGGAGCAGGTGCAGTAGAACCGGTGGGAGGTCGAAAAATATTTGGAGGAGGGGCGCAGAACTAAAGTTGAGACTACTGAGAAGACGTGGCAAGCCGACGTCCCGTCTTAGGACAGTGATACTTTTAACGACCCTTCTGATTACAGAAAGCACACTCATCTAAAGCCAGAGACATCATAATAACTTGAAAACTCAAGGGTTTACGCTTAATAACCCAAAACCAAAACCAGATAGGTCGAACTGTAATAAGTAAAAAAAATTAACTATAAAACCCACAAACTGCAAAAGGTCCTTAATAAAAGATATAGTAACCAAGTGGGCTCAAAATATAATAACCAAAGAACCAGAGACCCATAAAGAACCAGAAGTAAAGATAGAGAAAGTACCCAATCGTAAGAGACGAGAGCCGAAGGCAATTGTGAGGGACAAAGTCGGACACCACTTCGATCGCATGAACTAGAGGTAGAGAGAGAGAGAGAGAGAGATTCTTCAAGTGATCACGAACTAGAGGAACACAGATGATGACGAGCCGAACAAATTAGTCGACCAGTTAAGTCGGCTAGATGAATCAAATAGTTGTCAGGAACAAAGAGAAGACCTCGGACAAAAAATCCAGATGAGTCGACTAATAATCACAAACAATCAGAGAACGAAGTACACCCAAGTCGAACAAGAGTAAACCTGAGAGAAGGAAGGCACGGACAAAAGAACAATGGTAACGACTCTAGGGTTTTGGATTATCCAAACCGCTCTGATACCATGTAAGAATTCTGAAGAAGTTCTGTATATTCAATTGTATTTGATTACAATAAGACCCTAGATTATATAGCCCCAACTCCTAAACCAAAAAGGAAAACACAATCGTAAACTTAAAACATATACACAATCAAGCCTATAATATGTACAACCACAATCATGCCAAATTTAGAATATACACAACATATTCTCACACAATGTGCCCCAACTCAGCCTTTCGTAAGATTGTTTGTAGAGATGGGCTGGCCATTTGGATATCTTTATATGGGCTCGACCTACTTCGGTTCTGGTGATGGATTCGGCCTATCGGTTCGGTCCATGAATTAGGTCTAGCAACTCGGCCCAACCCAGCATCGCGATTGGGCTGGCCTTTCCGCTGCATGTTGGGCCCAAGTGCTTGAGGACTTGGGATGATCATTCTTTGTGGAGATGGGCTTAATAAATTGGCCCACATACTTATCTGGCCCACTTGGGTTTGGACTTAATGGCTTGGACCGGCCCAAGGCTTGGACCCTAACTATTTATATTTTGCCCCTTTAGTGCCCGAATCCACCAAAAAACAAAAACAAAAAAAAAAACAGAACATGTAAACCCACTAAGTTGTCATGATTATGATTGCATCTTCAAGCTTAACATACAACCTACAAGCACATTGACATACTTGTTTGGCAATTGATTAACAGAAAACTCTCTAAGCTCCTGTTTCAAAGAAGCCTAAAAAAGGATTCGATACTTGATTAAATCTAGCAAGTCAATCCAATTTGGTTGTAAATTTTCAAACAGACACTGATTCCTCCGTCTCCAAGTCGACCAAAGCACAACAAGAGGTATGATCTCCCATACCACTCTTCTTGCTTTTCTAAACTTCCAGCTTATCCACCATTCCAAGAGAAACACCATCGATCCTGGAACCACCCAAGGCAGCCTCCACCAATGTAGAATTGCAGTCCAGATCCTCCACACATTCTTACAGCAAGTTAAAACATGCTCCATTGATTCGTTTTCTATACCACAAAATCTGCAATGACCTTCCTCTTGATTATCAAGAATTCCCAGTCTAACAAGTCTGTCAAAAGTCATCACCCTTCCCCGCCAAGCCAACCAACCAAAGTACTTCACTGCTGGTGGGGCTGCATTCCTCCAAATCAATTGAACAAGAAATTTATGCTGCATTTTGTCATTTTGTCAATTTTAGAGTTCTGGGGTCTATTTTAGTTCCTTAAACATTGAAATTGTTCATTGATTTCTTTTTTTCTTTTTTTCATTTTTTAGTGTTCTGATTACATGTCCTTGTAAAATAGGTGTATCTAATATTGGATTAGCATTTTTGTTTGGTGGGATTGAAGGGTGGGATTAGACTAATAGTCCATCCGGATTACTCATCCCAAATTTGTGGTACTATTGTATCCCATTTGGGGGGCGGGAAGGGGAACACAAATCATGGGTAACTCATCCTGTGAAATTAGGTTGCCAAATTACATTGTTGACTCTCTAGTATTAAATATCTTTTTCCTCATGGTATTAATTATACTTAATAAAGTAGTCTCAATTTAAAAATAAAATAATTTATTTAATTTTTATTGATGTTTTATTTATTTAATTTTTTATAGATATTTTATTGATGTATTATTTTAAAATTTTGTTGATATTTTATTTAATTTCATTATTTAAATTTTAATAGATGTTTTATTTAATTTCATTATTTAATTATTATTATTTTTTAAAATAAATTTATTTAAAATTTTAATTAAAAAAATAGCATAGATTCATTTGAGCATTTCTCATTCTCTATAATATCTCAAACAAACATAGGATTCATATCATATCCAACCAAATAGTCCTTTCTTGACACCTAATCCTATGACTAAACAAACATGAGATGCATATCCTATCCAACCAAATAGTCTCAGGACTATGAATCCCATAATTACAATCTGATTGATTCCAATCCTTCTTTATTCAGTCCATCCAAACAAACATGCTAGATGAGTTCATTCTTGTTGGGGAGCTCCAAGAAACAAGCAACAGGGTATGCAGTGTTCTATAACCTTTGTTTCATTCCTCGTGCATCTAGAAAGAATGTTATAAAAGTTTCTGCACCTCCTATTTTGTGGTTTTTAGGAAAATGATGGCTACACAAATCTTTGGTGAGGTTGTTACTATTTAGTTTCAATTGACCATTACATTGTAACTAGGAGTGGGGTGTATGTCCAAGATCTCCCACAAAAGGCTTCTGTTTGTAATTCTTGCATATACATTATTTTTTAAACTATTTGAGGAATCTGGAGCTAGAGTTGGGTTTTTGTTTAAATTTGCAGGCAATTATAGAGAGTTTACACTTTTGGCAACTAAACATATTTTAGTCGCCGAAAATTTTTAGCGACTAAATTTTTTGGTTGCAAGAGTAGTCGCTGATGGATTGTCGGGAAAGGTATTTGGCGACTAAAATAAGTTTAGTCACCAAATGTACAGAAATGCCGACTAATTTTTTAGTTGCCAATAGTATTGAAAAAAAATTAAATATCGCCTTTTCAGCGACTAAAAATATTTTGTTGCGAAAAACCTTATCTATATCTAGCTACGAAATATTTAGTCGCCAAAATTTTTTTGGCTCCTCCTGTTATGTTTTTTAGCTACTAAATATATCGGTCGCCTAAAGTGTTATTATGTTTTAGCTACTAAAAATTTAGTCGCTTAAAGGCTTACATTTTTCACTACTAAACTCGTAGTCGGCAAAACTAGTGTTGTTGTTCATCAAAAAAAATTTGGCTATAAAATATTTTAGTCGCCAAATGTCAAATTATTTTTGGCTACTAAAGTTTTAGTCGCCTAAAGTGTGGTTTTTCTTTTTGGCGACTAATTTTTTTGTCGCTAAAAGTCTGACTTTTTTGGCTACTAAGCTTTTAGTAGGCAAATATTTTGTGTTTTGGCTACTAAATATTTAGTCAGCAAAAGTCTTAGATTTTTCGTTACTAAACTTTTAGTCGCCAAATGTCTGTTTTTTTTTTTTTTTCTAGTCGCCTAATGTTTGCTTTTTGTTGGCACAAAGCTTTGTAGTCACCGTAATTGTTTTCAGAAATTTTTTATTTGGTTTTAGCTACTAATATTTTAGTCACTGAAATATGTACTTCCATTTTGACTACAAATTGTTTAGTCACCAAAAAAATGCTGTTATGTTTTATCGCAAAATTCTAATTTCTCAACAACCTGTCTGTATTCTGTGCAACCTGTAGTATGTATATAAACAAAACAATACATATTTTATCAATCATTCCACAATGTAAAATTATTAATCATGCCACAATCCATATTACTTCCAACCATCCAAAAATGAATAACTTTAAATGTATATATTCCATACAAACCAACTATTGTCCAAACTAAAACTATATTTCCATACAAAAATCCAACCCGCTATATACAAAAGAAAATATATTTACTACCATGTGATAAGGCCATTTGGCGTGGTACAAATTACCATCATAATCTGTACCACGACAAAAGGTTATCTATATGCCACACCAGCAACTATCAATTAGATTACAAAAGTTATATGTATCAGTAATGCTAAAAAAAAGTTATCTCCATCAAACATTCCCCTCATCGGAATACATATCATTCTTCATTGAACCACCATAATACAGCTAAGTGACTCTCCCTAAGATCATCTTTTTTTTTTTTGCTATGATGATCTGACACCATCAATTGCATTTAAAAATTCCTCTGTGAAAGAACAAGTAGAAATCAACAAAATTAATGCAAAAATTTTATCCAAAATGACATGATAGTAACTTTATTGAATTTATGAAGATAAATCTTTAGCTTTAGATGATAGAATCATAAAAATTCATATGATTTGTTCATATATTAAACATCATCTTTGTAATTTTTAATAAATTACAGCCACATACATGAAATTTTGAAAATACCCTAAAGCAATAATGTTAGAAAATGGGGAAACAAATAAAGGGATGGAGGGAGGGAGAGAGAGCGACAGAGACAGACAGAGACTGTGAGTGATTATCAAATGAATATATCAAGTGAACATCGTACTCAAATGAATATAGTGAACATCGTACTCCAATGAATATATCATGACTAAATAAATCTTCTATCATAGAGGTGCCATGAAGAATTAGTATTAGCACTTACTTTTTTATCTCACAACATAATTACAAGAACATGATTATCAAATCGATCAAATTTTTCTTATAAAAAATTACATGCCAAATTTTTTTACATAATAAAATATTCAAATTATAAAACCAGTCTATAATAACATTCTTTGAAATTCATATTTGAATTCCAAAGACATAAGTGTAGAGCTTAAGACGGAAACAACTATATTTCCTCATGTCTGAGTATGCCTACTACGTCTCTTCTAGTTCAGAAATGAAATAAATGGAAATAATGCTTCCAACGATGATTAAGCAGTTAAACAGGAGATGTTAACTTCCCTGTAACTATACATAGTACCAGATTTGTCTCTATGTTGAAAAGGAGCAAATATGGTTATTGGGCCAAATTAACTGGCCCAAAAAACATTAACTTCTAGTAATAAATGATGACAAACTTTACACCCTTCTAATCATGGAAACGCCTTTAATCTCTCAACCCTCTGTTTCTCTCTCTCACTGCATTCCGTTATGCATTTCAGCACTCCTCTCTCTACCATCTACACATCAAGATTCAAGTAAGTTCTATTCTTTTTTCCTTTTTTTTATGCCTTAATTTGTTATTCGTAAGATTCTTGTTCATGTTAAGTGAAAATGCATTTATTTGGAAGTAAGTTTTTGATCCAATTAAATAGAAAAAGCAAATATAATTTGGTAGACCTCTATATAGGAATGTTGTTCGAGGTTTGTTTTCTATTATTTATTTTTTGGGGGGTTTTTTTTTCAATTGAACATTTATGTTTTATCTAACCCACTTGCAAATGTGAATGAAGCTTTTTTTTACTATTGCAATTGCAGCATCATACCATCAAATTCCAATTCAAATATTCAACCAATGTCAATAAACATACAATCGCATATTTACTAGCCATAAATGCAAATAAATACAAAGCAATGGATTAGGTCTTTCAAACTACTACGAGAGAAAGGGAAAAGGGGAGGAAATGTATCACACCAGTAAAATATTTACCCAATTTCAGAAATTACAAACCAATTTTAGAAATCAAACCAATTGAACCCATAAAACCAGTTGAACCCAATTTCGGAAATGGATTAGGGCTAACTATTTTGGCCATCAAACCCTTAAAATTGAAGAAAACAAACCAGTCGAACCAAACTAGTTTCAAAAATCAACACAAAATTAAACTAAAAAAATCATATCAAACCCTAGAGTATTGTGTGAGAATGGGGAAATAGTAGAGAAAGAGAGAGAGAGAGACCGAGATTGACAGAGAGGGATAGACACCGAGAGCAAGAGGGAGAGAGAGAGAGAGAGAGAGAGACCTGTGATTCGTGGCAGTAGGGGTGGTGATTTGCAGCGGTGGTGGTGGCGACGTGCGACGCTGGTGAGCAATGGTGGTACGCGACGATGGTGATCGTCAGTGGTGAGCGGGGGTGAGGTTTGGTGCTGACTCTGTTCTCTCTGTGTGTGACACAAAACATAGAGCAAATTGTGGAAGTGTAGAGAGAAGACGCAGGGGCCAATATTAATTCATTTTCCTCTAAAAAAAAATTCAAGCTTTAGCGACCAAAAAACATTTTGTAGCCAAAAAATAGGTAATTGGCGACTAAAACTTTCGTAGCCAAAAGTACCATTTCACTACTTTTTTTTGGGGGGGGGGTCGGCAAAGAGTTATTATATGACGACTAAATTCTTTTAGTCACCAAAACCTCATATTTGGCAACCAAATTCTTTGGTCAGCAAAGAATAAAAAAAAAAACTCGCTAACTGTTTGGCGACTAAGCTTTCTTTTGTAGGCAAATAATTGTATTTGGCGACCAAATTAAATTTTTAGTAGCCCAAAGTTCAAACTATTGCCGACTAATAGTCTTTTAGTTGCATATTAGTGAATATTTAGCAACTAAATATTTTTTTAGTCACCAATAAATAAGATATCTCGACTAAAATAATATAGTAGTTGAAACTTGAATCAACGCCGACTAATTTATTTTTTAGTCGCCAAAACTGTCACTTTTGGCGACTAATTTTATTTTGGTTGTCAAATTTAGTCACCAAATGTGTAATTTCTTGTAGTGCGTGTGTTCGAAAACTTGCACTTTTTTCCGTCTTCTATCCATTGTGGTTTTTTTTTTTTTTTTTTTGGTGTAATTTGTTTACTCTGTAGCACAGTTGGTACTGTTGTGATAATATTAGAAAATTCAAACCTAAAGGACTTTGCTTCCTGCCTTTTCTATATCTGCAGCATGCCTCTATGCCTTCTGTATTTTCTTCTATGACATCTCTGGTATTTGTTGTTTAAATCAATTTGTTGAGCTATGTTATACAATGGACAAGATTAAGCATACGCTTAGGTTGTTGAGTTTGTTTGCTTAATCAGTGTTTTTTTTTTTTTAATAAAGAATTTATTTATTATTTATTCTGAAATTATTCTTTTGCTAGAAGAACCTCCTCTGGAAAGGGTAATGGAGTATGACTTGGTTAAACTCCATTTTTCTCATGACATTCTAGACTCTATTGAACTCTCTCTGCAAAATAATTGATTACTACATTGTTTGGTTTCCATTTCAGAATTAGTTTTCTAAAATTTTTCTACAAAAATATTTAGTTTGATTGAAATTAACACCCCAAAATTTTTTTTTTAAAATTATTTTTGTGCTCCAAAAAGGTAAAAATCATAAGGAAATGATGACTGTCTTTGATTTATTATTATTTTCATAAAATTAATATTTAGTGTTTTTTTTTTTTAAACATATAATTTGAAAATCAAATCAAACAGTATGAATGCATATTGTATTTGTCAGCTTCAGCTACTCTATCTTGCCATCTATGGGAAAAAATCATTACAATAATATCACCATCCAATCAACAATTCACCATATAGGTACAATAAACCTCACAATATAGATATGAAGGTTACCTTCAATTAGTAGTGATTAACAGCTCCAAAACTAGAGTTCCAATTTGAGTTCTAATGATGTGACAACAAAAAAAAATAAAAAGCAAACAAACAACCATAAACATCACATCACATGGTGAGTGCCACCATTTAAGCTCCTCCTAGAGCTTTAAAGCTCTCAATCATTTTTGTACCTTGAATATGCAAAATGGTACAGACTCCCTTTTTTTTTTTTTTTTTTTTTTTTGACCCTCACAACCTCCACAGACATATGCCAGCCAAAGATTAAAAAAAAAAGAAAAAAAAAAGTTAGCCAATCACAATGCATTAAGCGTGGTGGGGGTTCCCAAAAAGGGGTCCCAACTTTTTTCTCTTAAATATGTAGGACATTTGAATAGTATCATTTCATATTATTTAGAAATACTAGACACCCAAAAAATTATCTCAAAAAATATTTTAAAAATAAATTGTATGGTATAAATGTAAATTTGGTGAGATATGAGTTACATTCAAAATAAATTTAGTCCACACATTTCATTTTTAGGGTACTTTTTAGAGGGTTATTTATGTATTTATTACTGTTATATTATTGTGTTATTTTATTATTGATTAGTAATAGCTCATATTGATGTTATAGTATTATTGATTGATGTTATTTTATTATTAATTAATGATATCACATATTAATAATGGCATTACATCATTATTATACTAAATCATTAATATTTGGCTTAGTTTCTTAAACTGGTATTATCTAAGAACAATTTTACTACAAACACAAATTAAACACATTATAAATACACAATTTTACAAATTTTGTTGATAGAATCCATTTTTAAAAATCTTGTGCATCCATCCATATGGATTATGTGTCTGTCTTATGAGATTGATTTCTATATTTTTAAAACTTATTTATCTAACATATACCCACTCCCTCCGACTCACCTCCCCACCCAACCAACCACAAAGTAGATTTGGTAAGGAGCTCATTTGGAATTTGGTCTTTAGCCCTTTTTTTTTTTAATCTTCTGTTAATATCATATGCTTTAGCACAACATGGGCTGTTGTGTTCATGCTCAATTTGGCAGGGAATGCACCGTACAAGACCCCAAAGCCAACCACAGAACCCAAAAAGGCTACTCTGGAACATTAGCAATACACTAAAATTATGCGTCTATTTTTTTCGCCTCAACAAAGCAGACAATACAAGACTTCTCTCACCTGATAGTGCAGCAAATGGAGTTTTGAATTTGCCTCAGAGCCTGGAATTACTCATTCTCCCAATCCTTTGATGCCTGATACATAAAAAATAATCCAACAGCCTATAAACTGTAACATGGTTGCTACTTGTAAAGTCATCATATGGAAATAGAGCATCTAGCCTAAAAATATGCACATAATAAACAAACCAATGATGACCCGTTTTCCTTCACGACTACTTTGTTAGGTCAGTCCCATCTCATTTAAGGGCGCTCGTTGCAGAGTAATTGCAATGGAAGTGCAGTATCAGGACACAAACAGACTCCACTTCCTTCGTAGCCAGAAGGGAGATGATGATGGTGGTGTTGCCCTTTAGCCCTGACATTGGGCAAAGATGAGGAAACAGGATTGAACTGCTGCTGCTGTTGCTGATGTTGTGAGATTGGAGCATACTTGGGGCCAAGTACTTCTAGTGAACAATGTGAACGTTGGACAATTGATTGAGCAAACTGGATTGTTGAAGGGTCTTGTCTTCTGTTTTCCCAGTTTGGATTATAGGACCCAGCTACTCCGACGGGCTTGTATTGAGCTGTCCAAATCCGTTGCCGCTGCTGTATTGGCAAGGCTGCGGTACTCAATCGTGGAGGGCCATGGCTCATGTATTGAAGTGGCTGTATCTGGACCTGTGATCAACAAAAACAACATATTTTTAATGGTTCATAATGGTGATAACATGTAATAAACTGGCTAGTGTGGATTGCGTCATCATAGAAACCTTATTCTGACTTAAATGCTGAGTTACTGATTAGAAATCCATTAAGTTCATTAAGGCCGAACTAAATAAACTTCATTTTGGTAGTAGTGCTTATGAAGTTGGGTGTTCCCCATCAAATGTTGAATTCACTCTCTCTAATTCAAAGAACTACTCTTTGAACTACATTTGATGGTGTTGGGGTAGTGTGGATCTTGATAAGTACTGGACACCAACCACGTGAATTTGGAGTGAACTTTTGTAGTTGCTGCACTAATTTCTACGTATTTATAGTTGAGAGGAGATGACTATCTCTGTAATGTCTTGTAATATTTTTTATCATAGTAAAAACTGCAGAAGTTGTGAATGTAGCCTTAATTCTAAGGTGAACCATGTAAACTGTGTTCTCTGTGTGTGTGTGTGATTTATCATTCTTGTGTCTTTGTTCTTTTCTATGTTTCTTGCCTCACCAATCTTAGTTAGGTGTTGTGGATTCTTACACATGGTTCATCAATTGACTCATGCATGTGGACTGCATTAGGATGTGAGAAATAAGAAATGGCTATTGCAAAACCATTCTTCAAAACAAATTGTCCAGAAACATTCCAAGGCAGACTAATAGAACAGAATTGGAAAGCAAGCAAATCACACCTGCTTTGCTGAAGCCACTGAAAGATTGTTGGTGAAAGGAGTGGATGAATAACGAATTTGGGGCAGAGAGTACGGCAGGACTGTGTGATTTTGCGCAAGTGATGGCAGGTAAGGAATTTGAAATTGAGTCAATGGCTCAAGTTCATTCCCTACTTTATTAGCACTGTTAGTAGCTTCCATTCCACCACCTCTGGCTGACAGGGACAAGAAGTCAAAACTCTGCAAAAACCAAAAATATGGTTCAGAAATATACAAAAGAAGAAATTACCATTGATACAACAATGAGCTTACCTTCTTTTGTGTGGTGTAAAGCGTGGATGTTGAAGAAGCCTGTTGTTGATGTTCTTGAATGAGTCCCTTGTGCAATAGAATAGCATTCCTAACTTCGATTGGATTCTTCTCAGCAGAATAACCAACTATGTTGTGTTCAGAAACAGATCCGTTCAAGGCACTTCACACTGTGTTCAGGTGGTTGTCTGTAAAAATAATGCCTCGTTTGGATCCTTCATTTGAAGTCAACTGAGTAGCCAGCACAGGCAGCACGTCTTTTTTCTCGGTAATTTGCAAGACCTTAATGAGACGACTTACATAAACATGAGCTGAACATCTCTTCCATGGCTTATTTCTACCAACTGGAGCTCTAGAATCCTGTAACAATCAATAATAAACCATAAACCCGATCAAATACTTGCAAACCTAATCAAATGCTTATAAACCCATGAAGGGTCTAGCTTGAATGGTAAGTCCTAGGTAAACAACCAGGAGGTCTTAGGTTCAATTCCCTACATCGCCCAATATGCGAGGCTGGCTGGTGGTCACACATATTCGTGGTTTACTCCTTGTCTCAACCAAGGTGGAGTCAAAGGGTTCCACATTATCAAAACAATAAAATAAAAATAAAATAAAATAAAAGCATGGTGAGACATATTGACCCGAGCAAGAGTATTAACAGCACCCACTCAGTAAAGAAAATAGCCCTTACCTTTTCTGTTAGAACACCATTACGCAATGAACCGGGTGGAGTTACAGAAGGAGCCATGGCCAACCAAACAGGAGTTTTAGCAGGGGATGACCTGAAACAACTAAATACATGAGACGCTAAAAAAACAATTGAAATTACCCAGAAGGATTAGAACAATTAAGAAAGAAAATTACCTCAAAGAAGGTCCCTGAGTACTTGCACCATTGGATGCTGCTGAAGACAAGCCTGGCCACAATGCCACACCTTCAGATCAAAGAACCAAGATTTATGGCAATGTCATAATATTGATATGCAAAAAATAATTGAAAAAAAAAAATTACATGCATACGAGAAGTGTACCACTGTTTTTGCTCCCATTGAGGGTGTGTTGTAGTTCGTGTTGACAACCAACAGATGCAGCCTGAAAAAATAACCCAAAGCCACCTCTTTCAGTCTGAGTTACCTGAGAGCAATGTGTGACTTACACTTGAAAATGAACGTACTGGTCCAGCTGCATTTTCTGGTTTTCCCGCATAAGTTGCGGCTTCCTTGTGTTTGGGCTGCTTAGAGCTGCCAGAAGATTAAAAACTTATCAAAAATGAAAAAGAACAAGCAGGCGTAACTTATGCTCTGTTTGTTTTGGCAAGAAATTCTCCAACAAGAGAAACTTTTTTCCAAGAAATGTTTTCTGGAGAAAACATTTTCCCATGTTTGGTTCCATCATTGAAACTAATATATTAATTGTTGTACTTGTTTGGAAATATGATATTTTAGCAACTTTTTGGCTTTTTGATGAAAGTATGGGATAAAAAAAATTAATATGTTTGGATGACTTTTTGACTTCGAAGGAAACATGTGCAAAAAGTAGAGAGAAAAAAAGAATCTTTAACTTTTTGGTATATATTGTTGACTTTTTAGTTTTTTTAGTGACTTTAACTTTTAATCTAAAATATTGAATTGCCAAAAGAGGTGGTGGTAGTGGTGGCAGGGGATCGAGTGGAGGAGGTGGGATGGTAGTGGCAGCCATGGGGGGGTGGAGGTGGAAGCAGTGACTATGTAGTGGTGGAGGTGATAGTGGTAGTGTGGTGGCATTAGTAAGATTTTAATCTGGAAAATAGCTTCTACTTTTTAAAAGTAGATAACATTTTTGGCTCTAATAGGGATTTTGTTTTTTTTTGGTTAACCATGGAAAATGTTTTTTTGTTGATTTTCATTTTCCGTTGTACCAATGCCAAAGAATACAAAAAAATATATTTTATAAACAATGTTTTTGGGGGCAAAAAATAGAAATTAAGGCACCAAAGCTGAAAGGTACCCACCTAGTTCCTAGGCCTAGTTCAGATTGAACATTGCAACCAACAGAACTGCAAGATGGGTTCCCATCGATGGGTTCACTCTTGGATAACATAGACATTGATTGTATGTTTCTTTGAGAAATGGTATTATCCAATTCGGTACGCAATTGTGCACTGTTGGGGAAACCAGGTTCTGATGGTTCATTCAAACATTTGGCTTGTACAGTTTCTTGAGCTGATTCTTCTAACAATGATGAATTGCCAGCCTCGACAGTAGTTGAGGGGCCAAGTGACTTTGAGTTTGAGTCCTCTTCTTTCTCAGGAGCTTCGGAACCTGATAAACTATATATAATTTAACATACAAAAAGAAAAAAAGAAAAGAAGAAAGAAGACACATAACAAAATCTAATATAATGTAGACCTTCCAATCGAGGCCTTGAATTCTCTCCCTCTCTCATAGGTGAAGATTTTGCTTTTGTTAATTCACAATCCGAATCACTCTTGTTATTGTTTGGAAATGGAAACATTTCGGCCAAAGCATACAGAGTCTCTACAACTTCTTCCTCGTCTTTTGTGATTGGCCGTACAATGATCTGGCTTGGAGATCCCTCTGAGTCTCGTTGTTGCTGTAAATTGTAAATGAAATTTCAATTGTCAACAATCAATGCTTTGTCAGGGAAAAATAGTAAAAGGAAAACTGAATTTTGGAGTAAAGAGATTATTGACTACCTTCTGTTTGGATTTCTTTATGCTATTCTTTATTGGTAATTTGACTCCATTGATCCCATTGTTCGGCTTCTTCTTATCTGGCAATGGTGGAGAAATGGAGTTGTGATTGCGCTTCTTCATGGCTGTAAATGTTATGGAATATTTCCTGAGCACTAAAATCCAAATAAATCTGCCATAAAATCTACCTAATATTCAAGCTTTCTGATTCACTAAAAGATCAAATCTCTCTTCGAAAAGTGAAGTTCATCAAATTAGAGAAGACGAAAAATTGTACATACATTAATTCATACATCGTGAAAATTGCAGCACTAATAAAGTATACATAATTTGAAATAAAAACAACAGAATCTTTCAAAGTCGAAAAGAAAGATAAAGCAAAAGCCTCAGTTCTAATCCACAATTATAAATTATAAAAGATGAGGAAAATTCCAAACTGACCCAAAAGATAGAACCACATTGAAAATCAAACCTAATTGGCCGGAAAATCACATGTACACACCAATTGAAAGGAAATCAAACAGAAAGGTTTCCATTATTTTTCACAATTGCACACCTGACCGTAACTTCCTAGGAACAGAAGCATGATCAACTGTGTTGTATTCATCGAAAAACTGCAAAAAAATAAAACAAAAACAAAGAATTTAGCCCCGAGCTAATATCAAAATAGAATATACTACTCTCTTATCTAAAAACAAGAATGTAACTGCAAATTACCTTTGTAGGAAGCTTAAATCTCTTGCTAATACTAGTGGTGGGTCGAAGCTCATCTTCCCTATCAGATCCAACAGAACCCATTTCGCCGTTTTCGTTGCTTGAACTCACTCTACCAACAACACTCAATTTTCTCAGTCTTTCTTTCTTCAAATTCTCCGAAAAAACAATGCCCCCACCATTACCATCCATACCTTCAATCATATGAGAATATTGGTGTTAGGTCCCTTGATTGTCAAATCCAGATACAAAACCTTGCGTTGTTAAAGTTGTTTCTTTTCAGTGTTTTTGTTCTTCCCACTCGAGCGGAGACATTGACGCTCGAGCGGAGTTTGTGGTCTCTCAGTATTTGTGACAGGTCTGTAAAAGTACTGGAGTGCGTAATTTTGCGCTCGAGCGGGTGATGAAGCGCTCGAGCGGACCACTGTGTTACCACACGCGTATTTTGTTGAAGCCGCTCGAGCAGGATGTTGGGCGCTCGAGCTGAGATCGCGGATTCAGGATTCCTATTTATATCTTTTTAGGTTGTTTTTAGGACTACTTTTTCTAAATCTTATTCAAGAGTCCTAGGGTTTTGTTTGTGGGGTTCTTCTGGAGTTTTGGTGAGTTTTCCTTGATGTCTTGAGAAGAGTTCTTCACTCATGATCTAAAATACATACATCAAGGAGTTGGTTTTCTTTAAATTCAAGAGAGAGTTCTCTTTGGTGGATTCCGAAGATTCTAGCGTATAGCTTTCAAAAGGCGTTTGATTCTATATGTGAGTGAGGTTGTGGAATCAACTTCAGGATTGATCAGTTCCGAGACGAAGTCGTGGAAAAAGAGTTACAGAAGATTCGAAGACAGATTGACTGAGTTGGGTAATTTGTATGATATCTTTGTAATCTTTTTACTTCAGTAGTGGATTGATTAGTGGCGTTTCGCCCGTGGTTTTTTAATCACAGTTGGAGGTGTCCAATTGTGGTTTTTTCCACGTATAAATCGTTTGTGTCGATTTATTAATTATTCTGAAAAACAAACAATCTAAATCACTTTCGTAAGTGCTTGTTGATTTAGATTGTGTGTTTTGGATTTTTGGGATTTGGAATATTTTTAATCTTGTCTAATCACGAATCACTTAAAGTTTTCAAAGATCATATCAAATGATTGCCAAATATAAATAATAAAATAGGTCACAAATATGCTACCAAATTCATATTGAGTTTAAGAAATAGACCCTATCTCTTGAAGCGAAGAGGAGAACTTGAAAAAACTTGAAGTCGATGAAACCATGAAATTCTTGGATCAAAAGAAAGCTCTTGACAAGATTTACAATCTTTCTCAACGGGCCAAGGTCAAAAGATACCTCTACGTGAGTAGATCTAAAGATCTAAGTGAAAAAGTTGATTTTCTAAGAGAGAGGGAGAGGGATTCACAGTGTAAAGAGAAAGAAGAGAGAGAAAAAGGAAAAAGTGAATGAGGAAAGTGTATTTGGGGCCTGTTTATAGTAGCAGAATAATAGCCCTAAAGTCAAATAAAAGAATAAGTGAAACCCCCAAAAGTAGAGCCCCAAAACTGAACCAAAAATCTGGAAATTAACTCACAGAGGTTGACCTTTCAGACAGTGGTGTCGACCTTCAGGAAGAAAAGTTGAGACACTAATGTGTGCAGAAGGCAAGGGTCGACTCTTGGAGAGGAGCCAGTCGACCATTTATTTCAAAATGCAACTCAAAACAAAACAGCAAGGAACGGGTCGACTCTTAGATTCTATAAACCAGCAAAGACACTAAGGACAGGGCAGCAAGGTGGTGTTGACCCTCAGAAAGGCTACTGTCGACACCAAAACAAATTTTTCAAGTTCCCAAAGAACTTTTCAGCGTAAACAAGCGCAAACGAACAATCCTAACAAGTTTAAATCGAATCATACTCCTCCAAAACCAAAATACAACAACTCCAATGATTCCCAAAATGAAAATAAAGGAATTAAATACACTCTCCAATAGTTTAAAGGACACAAATGCTATAACTTCCCCACCTTAGGAAATTTTGAGAAACGCCAAAACCAAAAAGGCCACCCAGTCTATAAAAGAAGCATAACGCTAACCCAAGCTTAGGTCTATCTGGGGATATGTCTTGGACCAACACCTCGAGGCCCCGAAGACACCCGAACACCAAGAATGGTAAGGAAACTTCATTGATGACCCTTTGATCCACACAACTCGCTGTGGTCCACGAGACAAGAAACAACAACTACCACAACAACAACGACAACAAGAACTTCTCAGACTCAAAAATGTGATCTACGCCTTAACCACCGGCAATACTCAAATCACTATCGAGTGCTCAACGCTTAGACACGAAGAATAAGAAAGCTACTCGCACACAAAGCTCTCAATCAACTCTCTCGTTGCACGAGAACATAAAACAAAACACGATTAATCCTAACAACGTTATGGCACATCAATGCCCAACAATTCTAAGTCCTTACAAAAATA